GGGCTGCATGGACTGAGTCAAGTCTCTGAGGACTTATTTAATACTTCTGCTAACTTGATTTGGATCTGAAGTCTTCAAAATACGCTTCTGCTTCCTATTAACTAGATGACAACTTTTGCTTACAAGACACTTTTGAGGTTAAATACCTGAGTGTAGTCAGGCTGGCTGCACGTGAGAAATAAATGCAGTGCACAGCGAAAAAGCAGAAGCCTTGGGCCCAAATTCAAAGATGACTAAAGCAGTGAAACAGTGGCAGCAACAGAAGCTGTTACGATCTCTACCTTCTTCCAAGCTGCTTACTAGTGCCTCTGTTAGGCTTTCCCTAAAGCCTATGTGGACCGACTGATTTCAGCTCCAACAGGTAGACTCTTAGAGTCAATGCCTTGAATGCAAACCATTAGGCCCAGTAAGTGATCCTACAGAAGTTTGAATAAATACTGTCCCTGTTCAGCTGGTTTCTCTGTGTTGCTAGAAAACAAAGGGATGAATAGGTGAAAAATAAAGTTGCAAAAGAAAACAGAAACCATGCAAATAAAGGAGGAATACATATTTTCTGACTCAATCTATAGAGCTAGGAAGAGTATGTTTATTTTCTCATGATAATGAAGGACACTGCTTGTGTTCATGTTTGCATAAAGAAGAAATGGCTAGAAGAAATGATGAGTTACAATGTGAAGTTGCAGGGTATGAAAGGGTAAGAAAAGCAGCAGAAAAGGCTGACTGCAACAAAAAGTTCTTGCTGTAACAAAGGCTATTGAGGGGGCTGCCTCTACACAGAAGGTGATTTGAAGTTGTTGAACAGACATTGCTGCTTTTTAATGTCTGGCAGAGTCCTAGCAGTCTGCACTACAGCTCACTAGGGAATCCAGACTACTAAGCAGTAGTGAGAAAGGAGAAAAAAAAAAAAAAGAAGAGTGAGGTATTGAGAAACTGAGGTAGCAAAATTAGAGGTAGACTTCAATTTACGATTTGGAAGCCAAAGAGAGCTCTCCAGGCTATTGAGCAAGCTGCCTTCAGTTGCACCAGCTCTCCTTACAGCTTTGAGTAGGCCAGCTTCTAGATTGCTTTTGTTTGTAGTCATGGATAAGCACTCCCTCTGGAAATCACTGAAAGCAGCCTGCCACATCATCTCACAGGCTTATAAAGTTATATTTTAATTGTGTTATTGAACCTTTCTCACTTTTGCTTTTGTCTGTTTACCTTCCTGATCCATCTGGATCAAGCTGTGCTGGAACGGGAATGTGGTGCCTCCTGAATTGTGGTTTATTTTTTTGTAGTAGGACATGTAATGAGAATGGGTGAAACCTACTGCCCAGAAGCAAGCTGAAATTTATCTTAATCTTTCTATTAAAGGACGGAGGTTGGAGGTGGGGTAGGGGAGTACTGTAGAAATATGCTTTAGCAGCAGTGAAATAATTTTTTTCACGTTTCATTTGGTATAAAGCATACAGACATATGTTGATGGACAGAGGTTATCATCTCTGTTCTCACCTTCATTATTCCCTTCCTTTCCCAAATCTTTTCTCTTTTCTCTGCTTCAAAATTCATCTTTGTCTGGCTCAAGGGACTCATTTTGGTGGGCTGGCTTGGCACCTCCCATCAGAAAGGTTATGCTAAGCAGTTGGAAAAATTAAATGTACTTTTTTGGCTCCAGGACTAGTCACACAGAATTACTACTTGGACTGGAACTGGGAGGAGGAACAACTGTCAATGCCACTGCTTTTTTCCTTTATAAGCAGTGTATATTACCTTCTTTGAGTGAATTACTGAATTTTTAATTATATCTGGTCACAGTTGTGTTCTGATGCTCTTTTGTGACAGAATTCCTGTCACAAGGCAGAGCTCCTGTTGTATCTCTAGCTTGAATCCACAGGTGCTTGCCTTTAAAAAAATGCCAATGCTTGCCAGACGTTATTGCTGAAGAGTATAGGAGATAATGCTGCCATTGGTTACAGTGGGACACAGCACTGACCCCTCAGACACTTTCAGTACTCATTGGTGCAGTCAGTTCTACTGCAATCTCTGTTCTTTATTGTTTAGTTCCCCCATCACACAGAGTTGTGTCACATTATTAAAGAGACATGCATAGAGATGAGCTCTAGGGGATTTTTGGAAGGTTTTCTGGCAGTAGAATAGATCACTGGTTTGTTAACACAAGTAAACAAATTAAATTCATAAATTGATTTAATAAATTGATTAAATAGTATCCCTTAGCCTGGACACACCCAAATTCTCAGCTGTGCACATGTAATTCAGATTCTGAGGGAAACTATTACTACACACAGACTCAGATATAAGGTGTTGAACAGGAACAATGAGAGCTACTGGCTGTTATCTGAATGAGCTTATTTTACCTGAATATTTAATGTTATTTTTAGTTTTTCTACAATAACAAATGATCCTCAGCTCTTTGATCAATTTGATATTGCAGCAAAAGAAGAGAAGAAAAAAAAGAGGAAGGAATTGCCATCTGTCATCTTTGGCTAATTATTTTGAGCCCTACCTTGTTTTATACACTGCAGCACACTATTTTAGGACTTGTTAACTGAGAAGTCTACTCTGCAAGAGTATAAATGAGTTCACCTCTAGCAAGTTCCCCACTGCTCAGCATGTTGTGCCGTCATTTCATACAACCTTCCTCCCAACCTAATGTCATGATTTATTAGTTCAGTCAAGTCTATTTTATCTTTTGCCCTCAGCTGAACTGGCTTTTCAGTGTGAGATTCTCTTTTGTCACCTTTTTTGTGGGTGTAGGGGGAAGGAGAGGGAACAGGACTGAGTTCCTCCAAACTCCCGTTAGCAGTCCAGCACCTTGGCATAAGCTCTTCTGCAATTTTTGGAGTGAGCCAGTAAATGGAGGAGCTCTCTGCAAGTGTGAAGGGACCAAATCAGGCAGCAGGTATTAATCTGTAAATATGCTTGCATTATTCATGTGAAAAGCAATACAGAATATGCTGCTTCAAAGGGGACCTGGGAGCCCTCTGCTTCCACCTGCCCTGCAGATGTAGCACCCCAAAGACCCATGCAGAGTGAGGAAGCAGCTTCATTACTACAGATTTTCCCAAAAATTCCTCTTGTGCTCTGAGATGTGCATTACCTAAACACAGGGCACTTTTTCTTTTCCTTATAACTGAACTTTTGTATTCTGGGTGAATAGAGACTCAATTTTTTTAACTCCTTTGCTGAAATTTTTGTTGCTTTCTCATTAGCTTTTTAAAGGTTAAGGTGCATCAAGCTGGATGAAATAGACTTTATCCTCATTTTATGAGTGCTGACAGTTGTCATGCTTACTATCTTTCATTTTCACAAACAAATGGTTTTGAATTTTTTTACTTCCTTCATCAAGCTGATGTTTTTCAATATAATTGGAAAGCAAGTTTCCAGATAAATTTTTAGTTTAGATGTGTTGAAACAGTATGATTAAGATTTGAGTTAATCAACAGGGAAGAAACAAGAAGGCTTTCAGAGAATACCAGAATCTCTCTAAAAATTTAGAACCTTGCGAGCTTTTTAAAAAGCAGGAAGGGAAATGAAAATATTCTTTCAATGACTGAGTTTGGTTTTTTTATGAAATGGCTAAATAGCCTGAGCTAAAATCCTGGATTTGTGCATTTTAAGCTTTGGTATACTTAGAGTTAAACTGTGGTGTTGTCCTCTATAAGAGTAAGCTTATTTTCTTTCGAAAATAGGAAGTATGAGTGGACAGTGATGGTAGTAGAAGAGATTTTTTTTTTTTTTCTTTTTTACAGGGCTCTACAGAAAGGCTACTAAATGCCATCCCAAGACTCTGAACTTCCCCAGGGGCATTCATTTAAAAATGTCACATAAGATCATACTCAGTGATTACACTGTGGCTATGTGAATTTGTTCCAATTTTAAAAGACTTCCAAATATTCAAACTAATTGGAATCAGGGTTAAACATTTTGAAAAATAGTTTTATATGCCCTGATCATATTTCTCTTCACTGGTCATCTCCTGGTTTTAACAAGGAGAAACAACAGAGCAAAGCTATTTTTGCATCATGCTCATCTAAATCCAGGTAAGAGCAGAGTGCATGTGCAGTCCCCCAAGGAACTGAAAACCAAGAATTTAAACCACTTTTCTACTGTTGTTGTTTTCACTCTACAAAGTGTAGATCATACCAAAAAATACCACAAGAATCTCACTTATGTCTTTCCTACATTAGCAGCACTCTTAAGAGGAATATTCACACACATTATTAAAAGAAAATCAATAGACTTCAAACAGGTAATCTAAAGCTCAGCCTGTCTATTTTTTTAATCTAATTAATTTCTTACTTTGAAATATATTTCAATATTTCATATGTCATTGAAAACTATAGGATCAGTGAATGACATTCCTTCTACATACCTGCCTCTTGAAATAAAGTCAAGCAACAAAGAAGAAAGAGTATATTCAGGAGAAAAGTAGAAGAGAATCTAAGCAAAATACGGAAAAATGAATCATTACTTAAGTTTCTACTATGTGCTGCATAGGAATGTAAACTAGAATCAGTCATAACTTCTCCATCCTTTCAAAATTTCTGTACCTATAGCATTGAAAAAATCCTTACTTCAGGAGACCAGAGATTAATGTAAACCTGATAAAGGAGGGAGAATATATACATACCAGCAATTAAGAAAGGTGGGTGAACTGCCCAGGTGACCGTGGCATCAACAATGAAATACAATGCATCTGTATTATAAGAACTACTCCATCAGAAAAAAATATTAACTGGTAGTAGGCAGCTGTGGATTTTGCAGCTTCTTAAACAACTTTCAGTTTTTATACACATTAATAACAATTATTACAGGCTTGACTGAAGCAAGCATCCAGAGTACTATAATAAACAGATCTGCTGTTATTTGTCTAGTTCAGAAAACATAGCACAACTGAATGATGAGAGACTACAGACTGATGTGAAGAAATGAAACATTTTTACGGACATCAGAAAGTTAGAAAGAAAGCATAACTTCACAAAACATCGCTTATTAGTTACCTGTCCCAGAGAGTAGGTGAAGATTTTGCGAGCCTGCCCTGGAGTATTCTAGGTTGCCATAGGCAGGTTGGCACCCAGGAATTTCGTACCCTGCAGCATGAATAGAGGATAAACCATGGCTAGGTATGGCTCATAAGACATACGAGTGATAACCTAGCTAGATTTGCTGCGTATTAGTAGGCTATGGCATAATTTGGTACCAATTATTCAGGATATCTTACTTTAAAGCAGTATTAAAACTAAAAACAAGATGATGTTATAGCGCACACATTTAGTGATTTTATTGTCTGACTATTGTAGGTCAGAATAAGCGTTTATAATTGACCTTATGATGGTTGTATATGGGTGCTACTCCATCTATTTTACTGGAGAAGCATTTGGTTTTAAGATTTGTGAAACAAGCCCTTATATTTTTTCATTGCAAAAACATCAGATTAAACAACTTTGTGTTTCATAGAAAGAGGGTCAGCAAAATTCCTTCTGAGCACCATAGTGAGAACATGTTTAACAGCGTTAATTAAATCTGGGCTGAGGTTCAAGTTCCACATACCAGGTTCCATGCACATCTACCAGCAGCAGAACAATAGCTGCAAAATATTTGCTGGAAATGAAAAGCATAAAGAGAAGCAATCTGAACTAGCAATATAAGCTATGAATAACACACAGCAAAAGCAGATCCAGAGCCCAGGAGAAGGCCAACGAGGCAGGCAAATTAGCAATGAGAACTGTTGCCCAACATTAGCATCAGGCAATGCTAGTAAGGTTCAAAACACTCTGTACTGTCTTTAGTCAAGCAAATTCTCACTCAAGTCAAAGATGTTTTTTCCTGAGTAAAATCTGAGTAAGGACTACAACATTTGGCATGCAGAATACCTCATAGAGTATTGCTGTGTTGCTTTGCAGTATCAGAAATGCAACGTAACATGCCTTGAAGGATAAACTCAATAAACTCAGTTTTTCCTCACTGAAGCATATTCATATTTATGAACCAGAATTTTTGCATAAGCCTTCCCTCTGGTGATTGATCACTACACACGCAGAAAATCCTACCTTCCAGTATTCACCACCAATTAGCAGTGAGTACTGCAAAGCAGGAACCTTCTGGACAGCTAACACATCTTTACATACAGGACACATTTCAGGAGCAATAACTGCGCTATAGAGAGCAGCAGAGAATCTCAATGTTTATGGAAAAGGAGAACTCTGCTGAGTCTCTTGCCACTGCTGTAAGTCCACCCTGGGATTGGCTTCACGTCAAGAACAGTGTACCGGCAGCAATATGATGCTCTTTAAGGCACTCTGAGGAAAAGCACTAAGTGAATTCCAGCACGTTACTCTAGTTGTACAACTGAGTTATTCATTGAATAAGGAAGGAACATTTAAGTATCTTTTAGATTCTTCTACTCTGGACTTGGATTGTATGTGAAGACACCCAGGGACAACAGGAAAAATGAGATGGCCTGAGGTTTAGGTGTTGTCATCACATGAATCTACAGCAATATGAGCTTTAAAATCATAGTGGAGGTGAGAATAAATCTCTGCAATCTATAATACCTCAGTATTATCAGTTCTTCAGTGAACTCTCAGTATTACTTTGGATTATGCATCTCAGCTTTTCTGATGTTCTCAAACTGCAAATCTCATAATCAATTCATGTTTACCTATTTAATACATACCAGTTCTACAGTACTTCACTATGTATTTTCATTCTCAACTATGGGTGTCAGGAAAACAGTCCATTGTAGGAATACAGATTTGAAAATGGTCTCTACCTGGATCTCCATTTTGTATCTGCATGTTTTCAGGCACAAAATTGCAAACTGCTCATAAAATCAGGTCTTTTAAATTTTAATTAAAAAAAAAATATCAGTGAATTCAGCCACAGAACCAGCTCAGGTCTTTTAAATTTTAATTAAAAAAAAAAAAATCAGTGAATTCAGCCACAGAACCAGTGGAGATTTTTCAGCCCAGTGCATTTTGCATATTTCTCAGCACTTCGCAGAGAAATCCTCCATAGTAGTTTTCTAATGAAGTAACAAAACTTGCAAATTGTGAGATGGATGAAATGAAAACATTGGGCTTTTAAAGCCCACAAAAGTAATTAAATTTGGGCTCTTGGAGCAGGGCGAAATCTCTGCTGTCTTCAGATCTGTTACCAGCTCTCTTCCATGTAGCCTTAATCTAACCTATCTCATACCTTTTACCGATATATAGAAATAGCTTTGCTATAGATAATCTTGACAAAATATTTTAAGGCTATGAGGTTTTGAGATGCTTTGGCAGAGAGGGGAGGGGTGTGAATTCCACTTTAGCTGTTTGCTCAGTGTTCTTCCTGACATCTTTTCAGTAGTAAGTCCCGTGTAATTGCTCTATAAATGATCTAATGCAGAGAAAAGCTCTCTGCTCTAAATGTGGTGGGTCTTTCAAAAGCTCCCCAAAGGGATTTAATAACATCCTGTCTCAGATAATCAGTGTCAGTTGTAGTCAGTCTAATCACATTCTCATGTGCAAGGTTGAAAAATAATTAGTAACTGTAAGATTTATTTATTTGCCTGACATACAAACACCAAAATTAATTTGTCAGCTTCTGCAATGGGATATTGTTTTATTATCGGCAAATCAAAAATCAGGAAAGCATACATACATTTTTGTTTAAAGCAACTGTAAATTTTAAAGGAAACAAAATGGAAAAAGCTCCCGGTTCTGTTACTGTGTTTTTTCCTCTCAGAAACAACAGTTGTAAGAAACTCGGAAGTATTGAAAATAATAGACAAGTCTATTTAAAAATAATATTGTATAGGCATGGTACACAAATAGTAATTTTCTACAGGAAAAATATCAGTCCCAAAACCCTAATGATAAAGTATTTCAGATTATAAATTTTTAAAATTATTTTTTATTATGCCGTAGCATGATAAAGTACCTAATTTTACTCTTCTTTCTACAGAGCTTCCCTTATCCTTCACTGATGTGATTGAGACCGACTCCAGTGACAACTGAGGTTCGAATTTGGGCATGCTGTTGTAATAGCCTGTGTTTGCTTGTCTTGTCCTAGAACATGCAGTATGCTACTTCAAATATTGTCTGTGGCTCATCTGACAATAATCACAGAGGATACTTACAGACTTATAGCCAATTTGGACCAGAAAAAAAAAGTGAATTTCTCAGTGAAACATGATCAACACTTTATTTCACTGTCTAGAGAAGAACAACTAAGAATTTATCAGTTTTGGAGGCAGATGATGATCGATCCACTATGCCTGAAGTAGACTTATACAGATTGCTTTGTCTGTTTAAGAAATACTGTTACGAGAAAAGTAAATGCAATGTACTTTATGTTCCCCTCTCCATATTTCATAGGTGAGTAAAATTTATAGCATCTGATACATATAAAGACCCCTGGTTTGTGTACTACTCCTCAAAACCACTGCTTTTTAAATGGTAGATATACAGGGTTTGTGTGACAAGGTTTTGGTAGTTGCAGGGCTACAGGGCTGGCTTATGTGAGAAGCTGCTAGAAGCTTCCCCTGTGTTTGATGGAGCCAACATCATCTGACTCCAAGACAGACCCGCTGCTGGCCAAGGCAGAGCCCATCAACAATGGTGGTAGAGTGCGCACCACTGTGATAATATATCTAAGAAGGGGAAAAAATCTGCACCAGCAGCAGTCAGAAGAGAGAGCAGTGAGAATATGTAAGAGAAACAACTCTGCAGACACCAAGGCCAGTGAAGAACGGGGGAGGAGGAGGTGCCCCAGGTGCTGGAGCAGCGATTCCCCTGTAACACATGATGAGGCAGGCTGTCCCCCTGCAGCCCATAGAGGTCCATGGTGGAGCAGATATCCACCTGCATTCTGTGGAGCACCCCACACCAGAGCAGGTGGATGCTCAAAGGAGGCTGTGACCTTGTGGGAAGCCCACACTGGAGCAGGATGCTGCCAGGACAAGCGGACCCATGGAAATAGGAGCCCACATTGGAGCCGGTTTTCTGGTAGGACTCGTAACCCCGCGGGGGACCCACATTGGAGCAGTCTGCTCCTAAAGGACTGCATCCTGTGGAAGGGACCCATGCTGCGGCACGTTGGAGAAGTTCGTGGAGAACTGTCTCCCATGGGAGGGAACCCACGATGGAGCATGGGGGGAAGAGCATGAAGAGTCCTCCCCCCGAGGAGGAAGGAGTGGCAGAAACAATGTGTGATTAACTGACCAAAGCCCCCATTAGGTCAGTTCCGCTGGGGCAGAGGAGGTAGAGAAAATCGAAAGTAAAGTTGAGCCTGGTGAGAAGGGAAGGATTGGGGGAAGGTGTGTTAAGAACTAGTTTTATTTCTCATTACCTACTCTGATTTGATTGGTAATAAATTAAACTAATTTCCCCAAGTCAAGTGTTTTTCCTGTGATAATTGATGAGTGATCTCCCCGTCCTTATCTCAACCCGTGAGCCTTTTGTTACATTTTCTCTCTCCTGTCCAGCTGCGGAAGCGAGTGATAGAGTGGCTTTTGTGGGCACCTGGTTCCCAGCGAGGGTCAACCCACCACAGTAGGATACACATGACTATTTTAGAAATACCAGTGCAAATCTGAATGATTTTTCTCAAATAATGTGTTCTTCAGCAGTTAGAGAATTTCATGGTTGCTCCATTTGTGAGTGGAGGACTTAGTGAATCAACTTTAGTAGTCCCTAAGCAAAAGCCACCTCAAATCTTGCATCTGTTAAAGGGAGAAGGATTTTCTGTAAAGCAGGAAAGAATGTGTCCTGGTCTGATTTTAGCTTAAACATAGAAACAAGGGGGATTTGAAAGTCACCGTTAAACTAGGTTGTGCTATTATGATTTCTGTACTTGCCCAATTTAGCCCTATTTTACCCCAGTATGAAGAAGCTAAACACAAGAACTGCTATTTTTGCTTCTATTAACACCATGCAGCTATTTTAAGGGAATGCTTTTATAAACACTAATAACCCCAGATGAAACATTGACAGAGCAAGCTGGAAGGACTGCAGGGACACCTTGGAACATACTGTCACGACTCTACCTCCACATCCCATCCTCACTGAAGAGGCACGTGGCAGTGATGCTGATTTAACATCACAGACTTGCAAGATGCTGTCAGCTGCGCTTGCTACCTACTTTCCTACCAGTCATGCCAGTGTAGGTAACTGGCTGTCATCTCCACGGAACAAAGGCTGGAGCTAATAAAAATGTCAAACAATCCATTTTCTGTGAGGGGGTGGCAGTTCTATTCCCAGAGTTACCCAGAACTATCTATGACCACAGCATTAAATAATGTAAAACTGCTGCAGGGACTGCAACAATATATCTCAATAAATATTTTAAATATAATTCCCTAGTTGAAAACCAGGGTCCTATGGAACTGTGCATCCGTCCAATTGGGGTAGTCTGCAGGGACTGGAACAGTAGCTCCACAGTGCAGACACAGATGCTAACAGAGTACCTGGGAATATAAGGAGGCTGGGGATATCTATCGAGCAGAAAGGGAGGTCAATGAAGACACCTGTTATCAATGAAATTAATACTTATTTTCTGTCAGTATAGGATTACAAAGATGTTGGCTTGCCAGCTCAGTTTAACACATTTTAGAAGAG